GTGACTCATCCATCACCACAGCCCACAACAGCCGCCACGGGCTGTGCCGTACGCCCTGTCGGCGGCCGAAACTCATGAAATTTTCTATGAAACCCCGGAACGGAAACTATATGTTAGGTCCACCAGTAGCTAACGGGCCGTTGATTGTAACTGTTATATATGGCACCGGAGGCCCAGAGCCGTAGCGTAAACTCTGTGCTAAACTAACCGATTATCACATTTTCGCTGATTAGCAGCCAATAGCGGGCCAGCGATCGGTGCGCCGGTATTGTGGACAATATGGTCAGCACTAGACATGTGAATACGAGTTATATAATTATTATTTTACATAATAATTGTTGTACAAAATGTATACAGGATATTGTAATTGTGTAATATGTAATAAAACATATATGTAATATAAAATAATATTATTATGTTTTGTTTAATAAACAATAAGTTTTATAAAAACTTAAATACTCAACATTTTAAAGTTTTAATAGTAATTAGCGAAAAAGTAATCATATATTGGTTTAGCACAGAGTTTAGGCTCCGGCTCTGGGCCTCCGGTGCCTTACATAACAGTCATAATCGACGGCCCGTCGGCTACTGGCGGAGAGCCCTGCACTACATGCGCCGGCCCACACATATCGTCGACCTGACCATCATATGCCTGTCCGTAGCCGTAGTCATTGCCAAAACATATTGAATGCATAATAATGTAAAAATTGCACACACTTTGCGGACAAACTTGCGATGCACTGCCTGTCTATAGAGGGCGTCGACAACAGGGAGGGTAAGGCTAGTGATGGTATCGATTGGAGCGGAACCGGTGCGCGGGTCGGCACTGAACGCACACAACAGCGTATGGCTATCGGTGTCATACTGTGCCACAGATCGGAACACTTCGTCACTGTTTGGCCACTGTTTGAACTTTGGGTAATCAACTGATGCCGAATCACCCAGCACATTTTGCGGGACACCGAATGGGTAGGAGTTTCTGATTAGAAAATGCATTTCAAACATCGATGGTTTCTTCGAAGACATGTTGTTTTCGATCAAATTGTTGGTCTTGTGATTGAATACAAGTTTCAATTTACAGTGTTTTGCGTTATTTTGAAAATTAAAAATTTTTAAAAATAAAATAATTTTTTGTAATAAAATTTTTCGGCAATAATAGACACAACACAATAATCTCTATGTAGAATACAATAGACAACTGTTCCCTCTGGTCGTAGATCACCGACGATAGCACTTTCCACGGCTGTAGTTGTTTATTGAGTGTCAGAATCTGTATGACTTGAAAAAACCTATGAAAGCCCCGGAAGGCTGAGGCGGCGAACACCTCGTGCCCGGAGCTCGAGTTTATTGTCAACACTACTATAGATAGGGTGATCACAACGGCATCCATGAGCCGGGAGGGCACTGGTAGGCATGATTTTTGCACAGCCGGCGCCTTTATTATCGGCGCCGGTCTAGTTATACACCCGTATCTAAACGATTGCAACCGCCGGTGCGTAAAATAGTGACCGCCGCCAACAGTTGTAACGGAGCATCTTGTTATCGCATTCAAAGCACCGCTAGGAAAACGCAGGCACCGTTAAACTAATTGTGCTTGTTGTGTTTAGAGAGTATCAACATGTTTATATAAATCAACAATTTAGTTTAAGTTTGCCACGCCTGTTCCCTAAAATAATTACTTTTATTGATAGTAATTTGAATTTATTGCAAGTTTATGCAATTAAATAAATATCAAATACATGTAATTAAAAACAAAACACAACAAATATGGTAATTTTATTTGCAAAAATAATTTTTAACAAGTTTAAAAATAAAACATTCATATTTATTGTTTTACAAAAATCAAGAAGATCATAAAATAAGTATAATCTTTACGGGTAACCCATGCCTACCAAATGGCCAACACGGGTGTCATCAGTCAACGCATCAACCAATACCTGTGCCAAATCGCCCTTGGTGATAATGCGACCGACGGGGCCGTCAGTTTTTAGTGTATAATTACCACGGGCTGGACTGTCTGCAAAAACAATCATGATACAAATCAATGTTTTAATTGTATAAGTTTTGATACATGAGTGTCATTTAACGTCATATCACCATGATTATTTTTAAACTGATTTACTTACCCTCGATATGTGGCGGACACACGGCTACCCACTGGCGGTCTGACGCGCGCAGCGCCTCCAGCATACGCTCGTGGTCTGAATGCACGGGTAGTATGCGTTCGGGTATTTTGTTGCGCTCCCAGAATATGAACGCTGTTTTACCCGATCGGGTCGACCGGTGAGAGGAAAGTGGGATAAATAATAAATAATTAATTGTATTATATTTTAGTTAATGTGATCATGATAAATTATGTATGTGTTACTTTAGAATTATTAAATTTTGTGTATATTGTTTAGTGCATAAGATGTATTGAATGAGCATGTAATATTATGTACATGTATGTATTGTATCTTAAAATTTTAGTATGTATTAAATGAATACATAAAAGTTTGTTAATATTAAACGTGGTATACATACAGGACAGGCAACACGCGATACGCTGTACATTGTGTGCGGCCATTGCGGCGATGATATTACGGGTGCCGTCTGACAAGACTGTGGTGGGGCTCAGATCGTTACGGGTGCCCAACACCACAATCACCGCCTCCTGACCCTCCACTGCCCGGTCGACGTCCGCCCGATTAGTCACATCGCCCACCACTACATGTGTGGGCCGGACATCAGCCGGCAGTTTAGTGCTGTCCCTCACGAATGCCGTCACTTCATAGCCTTAATTAAATAGTTATAAATAATTAACTCGTTGATTTATCGTATTTAATATAATTCATGTTAATTAGTACAAGTTTGTCATTTATTAGTGTTGTGTTTTAGATTACCAGGTTTGTTTAGTTTTTGTATTGGCCAATTCATTAAGGGTTATTAAATAGTAATCCAGTATTGAATTAGTATAATTATGATTAGTATTTGATCTAGCTCACCTTTACTAAGCGCACTCTGGACAGTGGGAATACCTGTCATACCAGTGGCACCAAAAATAATTACCTTCTTGATGGCCATTTGTATTAAATAATGTAATTTTAATAAATTAATATTACAACAAAAATGTGATTTTAATTATAAATATAAATTTTAAAATATTTTTGAATAACAATTTATTTTCAATGTTAACACAAAATGAATGCACAAAATGTTTTTAAGTGCTATTGAGTACACTATAACTGCTCGACAGATGTGCACGATATGCACCGATAGTCTAGTGACTAGACTAGACTCTAGTCTATGTTAAGTTTATTATGTAATTATACAGCAGTTTTTTACAGAAAAGTATATACATGTACATACATAGAAAAGTATGTACGTGTAAATTTATATGAATGTATGGCATGGTTAGCATCCGTGCACTTATTAAACCTGTCAAATATACAGCAAAAAACTAGTTTTCATGACATCATGGTCACCGTTCACTTGATTTATTGTTAGTATAAATTTTAAGCGCAAATTTTTAAATAAAATAAATAAGTTATGCTATGCAATGCAAACAAAGTACAGGGTTGTCCATAAGTAGCTAGAGTTTTAATTAATTTTTTAAAAATACTTAGAGTTGAGATATTTTCTTCAAATAAATTTTGTTTTATTAAGAAATAATGATAGTTTTTGTGGAACTAATGAATGAGGTTCTCAAAGTGACCACCCTCGCACACAATCAAATGCCGTAAAAAAGTGACAAAAACCGGTCCGTTAGTCAAATCTTATAAGTCGAATAACTCGAAAAATATTTAAGAAAAAATTTTATAAATTTCAAATTCAGACTCAGCGTTAAATTCTACATCGAATTCGTATATAATATTAATAAATTAAGTTAATTATAAATTATCGACAGATCGACGCAACGACGGTCCGACGGGTAAAAAATTCCTCCCCTCAAAAACTAAATTGGTGATTGTGGTCAAAGTTAAGGTCACACTTTGCCCATACTTTGCCTTGAATTTG